CCCTTAAGTTAGGTACCTGATAAGATTCTCCTTGCTAAAACTCAGGTTAAACTAAATTAGCTTCTCTGTGAATGTTAAGGAGATTAAAGTGGCTATTTTTATTTGGCTGTGTATGGCTTGGTTCAGAGTGAAAGCAAATACATGTGCAAGAAGTTAGAAGTAACTCAAGTGCAGAACTTTGCTCTTGTAAGAGAGAAAGGAGAAGTAGGAAAAAACAAATACTAAATTAAGAGACAATGATGAGTTCTTAAGAAGTCGGAAGTGGCATCTTCTGGAGAAGGTGAACATGCTTTTTTTGTGGGGTTTTTTGGGGGTTTTTTGTGTTTTTTAGTGTTTTTTTTTCTATCCTCAGCTGTTCTGAGAATGTTCAGGGGGATATATATGTATAGAAATCAGACTATATCCACAATAATAATATAGTGGAGGTATTAAGCAGCCTGTCTGATAAGACATTTGATAATTTGATTTTCTTTTACCTGAGTAGAGTACCTTCTACTCTCATACATTTCAGTCTACATAACCTGAGGCTGAAGACTTAATGAGTTAGCAGCAAGACTGAAAAATTCCGGGGTTTGTTCTAAGTTCCTCAATTGTGCTTTCATTTCAAATTTTTGTAAATAGTAACTATAAGCCTCAACTTAGGAGAAATGTTTGTCACTTGCCAAGGTAGTATCTAAACCTTTTTACCTGAAAAACACCACAAAAAGGGTAGTGTGCACCCCTGCCTCAATAAGCTACACATCATGTGTCAGTCTTCTAGTCCCCTTTAATGTTTCACTCATTAATTTCATTATTTCACTGTTGTTCTTTATGTTCTCTTGTTGAACTCCATTTCTGAACGGAGTTAGGAGTCATATTTTATTACGAACTTGAGCTATTCTCTTAGTGGAGTAAAATTGGTATGTTGCCAACAGATTATGTTCATGCTTGCGTAAATAGGGTTAGCATAGATCCAGTAATCCAGTGCTGTGCCTCCATTAAGCTTTGGTGTGGATTTAGAAATATTTTATACTACAGTAGCTTCTGCAATGTTGTACAAAAGCACTGATTCTGGAAGTCAGATCCTACTGTTCATTTACAGTAGTAATCTGATACAGTTGCCAAGTGCTGAAAGAACAGAGAGCAAGACTGAGGCCACCAGAATCACTGTAATGTCACAAATATATTTCCTAGATAAGCATTTAGGCAAGCCTTTAAAAAAGTTTCCTCACAAGTAATAAATGTCTGTATCAGTAATTTCTGCAAACTTAACTATGGTAGCATAGCGCTGCAGCAGTCTTGTTTGGGAAAAGTAAAGTCCAAAAAACTGATGTGAGGTGTTTCTGTAAGTTGACTTATACTTTTAAAGCCTCAGTTATGTCAGCACTGTGTCCAGTTCTACACTTTTTTTAGAAATGCAGTTGCTTGTTTCAGCATATGGTAATGTAAACACTGAAATGAACTCTGCATGGCCAATTGAAAACAACTTGTTCCCCTCTCTGACAGGTAAAAAGCAAGATGGAGCTGTTGAAAACCGTAACAAAGGTAAATGCAGGTTCTCTGATCCTTTCTTGCAAATCCTAATTTTCTGAGTGTGTATGTATGAATGCATACTTTCCTGTGAAACTGCATATTGAATACTTAGTTCCAAAGCGTTTATGCTAAAGGTGGTATAAGTGAATCTGTGCAAAAGAAATGCTTAAGTGAACTTGGTAGCCTCAGCATAGCTAGATAGTACAAAAGTGAACTTTACCAGTGATTTTCAAGCAGTCTTGTTGAGGTGGGTTAACCTTGGCTGGCTCCCAGATGCCCACCCAGCTGCTCTGTCACTCCCCCTCCTCAGCAGGACAGAGCAGAAAAATTCTCATTCAAAAAGCTTGTGGGCTGAGATAAGGACAGGGAGATCACTTCCCAGTTATCTTCATGGGCAATACAGACTCCACTTGAAGAAGATTAATGTATTGCCAATTAAAAATAGAGTAGGATGGTGACAAACAAAAACAACTAAAACAAAACATCTTCCCACCCTGCCCTGCCCTCATCCTTCCAGGTTCAACTTTACCAAACTCCTCTACCTCCTTCCTCTGAGGAGTGGAGAGGGATGGAGAATGCGTGTTTTTGGTCAGTTCATAACGTTTGTTTCTGCTGCTTCTTCCTCCTCACGTTCTTCCCCTGCTTCGTCATGGGGCCCATCCCACGGGATACAGTCCTTCATGAACTTCTCCAGTGTGGGTCTTTCCCGCAGAATACAGTCCTTCAGGAGGAGCTGCACAAGTGTGGGTCTCCCATGGGCTACAGGTCCTGCCAGGAGCCATTCAGAGGCTCCAGCTTCCTTCAGGGCACATCTGCCTGCTGTAGCATGGTGTCCTCCATGGGCTGCAGTGTGGATATCTTCTCCACTGAGGTCCCCTATGGGCTGCAGGGGAACAACCTGCCCCACCATGGTCTTCTCCACAGGCTGTTGCTCCTCTGCTGCCAACATCTGGGCACCTATACTCACTACACTTGTTTAAACTTTCACATGCATTATGGCATCTCTGGATACAAGATACTATGCAGTACTGCTGTTTAGTGGAGCCTGGTGTTAAGCTTTTTAAGTATCATTGATTTCGGAGGGCTCCCAAATGAGTAAGCTTTATTTGATCTTAACTTCTAGCTAAAGCCCAGGATGGTGCAGCCATGGAAATGCAACCACTGAAGAGTGAGGATGGTGGAGATGGAGATGAGAAAGACAAGAAGAGATCAAATTTGCCAAAGAAAGAAAAGTCGGTTCTCCAAGGCAAACTTACAAAGCTCGCAGTTCAGATTGGCAAAGCAGGTATGATGTATCAGTACCCTCCTCACATTGATGCCACACATTTGAATAATGTTTGAGCATGCATAGTTTGTGAGGAATAACTATGTAGCTAGCCTTGACTGGTTTGATTATTTAAGTGCAAAATTCTAATGCCTGGAAGTATACCACTGTGCCTGAGTGTGCTGATGATTCTCAGATGCTGTCATGTGGGTGGTTTTTATTTTTCCTTGATTTAGATAGATTCAGGCTTTACTGTGTCAGCTTCTTGAGGAGAAAATTCCAACTTCATAACATTGGACAACCATTACAAAAGGTCTTTTTAGATAAGATATGGCATTCAGTGGTGTACCTAGGGAACTATAAATTGACTGAAGTTTGGAAACTGTGGTAGGGTCTTTGAGGTTATCTCTGGTACTTCCAGAGGCTTAGGAATTTCCTCTTAACATATGCTTTGCTGATATGTAACATTTTAATTCACTTTCTACTATCCTTTAGTTTCTGTTACTCTTTTGTCAGCTAATATACAGCTGCCTTGTCAAAATATTTCATAAACTGTTGCTTCCTGAAAGTAGGCTAAAACAACAATGAAGTTCAGTGTAAATTTTATGCTATATTGTCTGGTATGTAGAGGTTTAATTCAAATATTTCAGGGTTTATTTTGGTGCATGTAAAATTGTTGAAAGTTTTAGGCTTTCAATTGATTTTTATGAATAGGAGAGACCAATATGTAATTAGATCTACACTTTTCAATTAAGTGGGAATTTAAAAAAAAAAATATTTTAGAAGTTTCTAGGTGAAATGCATGAGGAAATACTTGCATTAGAAGTTGCAGCACCTTTGAGAATTACCTCAATGGTTCCTGACTTGCCTGTTTATAATCTTAGTTATAAACTAACTCCTACAAAAGCAGAAGTATTTGCACTTGACTTTTCCACAGTCTGCATTGCCAAATATTTGAGATAATTTCTGAAAAATGTTTATTCTCTTTTTAACAAGGTTTATTGATGTCTGCAATCACAGTCATTATCCTTGTGTTATATTTTGTAATTGATACCTTCTGGGTTCAGAAGAGACCTTGGCTTGCTGAATGTACACCAATTTATATTCAGTATTTTGTGAAGTTCTTCATTATTGGAGTTACAGTCTTGGTGGTGGCAGTACCAGAAGGTCTTCCACTTGCAGTCACTATATCTCTGGCTTACTCTGTTAAGGTAAGTGGATAGATGGGGAACAGATTTTAAAGGTAGGTGGGTGTATTCGTCAGCTGTAAAATCTCAGTTGAGATATGGTGCATCACATATACATAACAGCCTGGGGAGAAACCATTCTTATTTTCCTGAACTGCGTAAGAAATCTACCGCAGTATTTTTCTTGAATGCGTACTGACATGAACAGTGAGCAGCAACAGCCTGTTGTCACCAACTAAATGTGTTTAGCTCTTAACATTGTAGCGTTTGCTTATAATAAATAGATGTGTTAACTTTCTGTGACCCTGAACTTTTACCTAACTGATGTGTTAAGCAACTACTACAAAAGTTTCCGTATTGATTCTCCTTGAGGACTGAATATTGTAGAACATATAGCCATCTATTCATTATACAACATGTTCTTTCACTCATTCTCTTTGTTCTGTTTATTTTATTATTTCTTCAGCACTCTGAGACAGGTTATTGATCTGAAAATCTAATTACAGAATCACAGAACGTTAGGGATTGGAAGGGACCTCAAAAGATCATCTAGTCCAATCCCCCTGCCGGAGCAGGAACACCTAGATGAGGTTGCACAGGAAGGCGTCCAGGCGGGTTTTGAATGTCTCCAGAGAAGGAGACTCCACAACCTCTCTGGGCAGCCTGTTCCAGTGCTCTGTCACCCTCACTGAGAAGAAGTTTCTTCTCAAAGACAATGGCTGTTTAGGTTGTGTTCTAAAACTCAATAACTTGCAGTACTAACTAGCAGTGAGCTTAGTATTGTATTATTTGAACTCTGCATCTTTGAGTTGAAAATACTATCCAAACATGTTAAGTAAGGAATTTTAAGAGATCTTCGACCTATGGAACTTGTGTAGTCTTCACTGCTTTAGCTGAAACATTAGGCTCCCTATTTGTATTTGATTTTACATCTGATTCTAACATCTTTGAAATATATATACGTATCATCTGATGTTCATATAAGTGTGTAACATAGCTTATCTGATTTTTTTCTTGCAAGCAAAAATATATATATTTTCTTTAATGTATTATCTGGTAAAGCTCAGTCTGTACTTTATTTCTAAATATAATTGTAAACTATTTGCTCATAACACTCTGAATAGTGTCAGTATCAGTTGTCAGTGTGACATGCAGATACAGGAGATTGGGGCTGTATTTATGAACCTTGTTCAAAATAAGTTTACTGTGACATAGTAGACTTCAAGGAATCCTCACAGAACATGGCAGCTACAAATTCTCCCTCTGTAAGGTGCTGGAAAACTTAAGGCTGAGTGTCTTTTGAAACTGCTGTGTAAGACTCGACAACCTAAATGAGAATTTATGAAATGTGATGTAATGATTATGGATATCTGTTGACTGCTTTTATTTCCTTAGAAAATGATGAAAGATAATAACTTGGTGAGACATCTGGATGCATGTGAAACAATGGGCAATGCAACAGCTATTTGCTCAGATAAAACGGGAACATTGACTATGAACAGGATGACAGTGGTCCAAGCTTACATCAATGAAAAGCATTATAAAAAAGTTCCAGAACCAGAAGCTATTCCAGAGAAAACTATGGCTTACCTTGTGACAGGAATTTCTGTTAATTGTGCTTATACTTCCAAAATACTGGTAAGTGGATTTCTTCATTCTAATCAAGGTAACTAAACAACTTCCTCAAAAGATGTCTGGTGGCCACATTGTAGGCAGTTCAGTGTAAGTGTGTGGCAAAATTCAGTGTATTTTGTACCTGCAGTAAATTGCTCAACCATTCATTTGAGACTAAACTTCAAAAATAGCTTATTTCAGTTAGAACTACTAATTCAAAGATACAATCTCAAGAAGATAACTTCCTTAAAGTTCACAGTTGTGCCTAAACTTGTTTTCATAAGTGGGGGTTTTTACCTTACTTGTAGAGCACCTTGGCTCGATTTTAGTGCTACTTGAAAGTAAACCTGTAAAAGTAGCATAGCGTTAGCTAGAATGTAATGAGAAAACAAAAGTACATATGAGGATTTTGATGGGTTTTATTCTAGTTACTGTTGTATGAGTTTGTAGGGTTTAGAATTGTAACATCTTTACTCATACCTTGTTTGAGACTTACACATTTTATTCCAAAATATTTTGGAACAGTCCATTATTCTTTTTGAATACTGAACTATTTAGCACTTCTGTGCCTCATTCTCTGCAACATAGCTTCCTTGCTGTAGTTATTCCAATGTGTTGCATAACTTATTATTAGGATTTAGCTTTAAAACATTAAATAAATTAGTATTTCAAGATTTAGTAGAAGACTTCATTATGAATGCTTTGTACAGGAATAGCAGTGAAATCCCAGTTGAAAAGGTACATTTTAGCCAATAAAGATGGTACCTCAATAGCAGTACTTGAGATGTCACAGCAAGATCACCAGCATTGATTTCTCTGAGATAAGACTGAAATACTACTAATGAGTTATAGCATACGAGGAGTTTCACAGTCTGTGTTCTAAAGATCTATGGAAAGAAAAGATAACTGCATGTAAACCGAGCAGCTTCCTTTCTACTACAATTTTAATCAAATTTCATCCCATGCAATCAGAGCTAGTTTGCTTTATAGAATCACAGAGGGCTGAGAAGGACCTCCTGAGATCCTCTGGTCCAATAACCCCTGGTTTTAAAGGGTTGGAAACTTGTTTCTGAACTCTTTCCAGTTAAATAGGCCACAGCCTGGAAAACAGAACCTGTAGTGAGACTTAAGAAGCTTAAAGACTTAATTTATTCAGTAGAAGGCTAACAGGTGATGTGATTGTAGTCTAAGTCATTGAGGAAGAGTTTTACAGGATAGGATGCTTTAATTTAGCAGAAATAATGCCATTTAGCTTGCTTAAATCAGTTTACTAAGTGAACTTATCTGTAATTTTAAAACGTAAAATAATTAGGGATGACATTTAATTGATCGGCTATTTCAGGCAATGGTAAATGCCTTTTAGAAGAGTCATGTTGGGATTTGATACAAACTTAATGGCTGATTTTTGATACTGAGAAAGGGTTCCAAAAGATTCCAAACAACTACAGATGTCTTAGAAAGGCTAGCAGTATGACTTTGGCTCCTGACTCATAAGAATTTATAGAGTAATAATTGCAAAAGTGAAACTTCCCCATCTCAGAGCTAAGCTTGGCCTTAACTTCCTTGTTTTCTAAATGCTGTACTTCAGTGGGTCATCAGTTAACCTCCTAATCAGCAAAGGTTCCTGTTCTTCTTGCAGCCTCCTGAAAAAGAAGGTGGCCTACCACGCCATGTTGGAAATAAAACTGAATGTGCCTTGCTGGGATTGCTCTTGGATTTAAAACGTGATTATCAGGATGTGAGAAACGAAATACCAGAAGAGGATTTGTACAAAGTGTACACCTTCAACTCTGTTAGAAAATCTATGAGTACTGTGTTAAAAAACTCTGATGGCAGTTTCCGGATATTCAGTAAAGGTGCCTCTGAGATAGTTCTTAAAAAGTAAGTCCAACTACTATTGTCTTTCAGCACTTACATTTGGTTTAATGATGTGATAGGTGAGGAGACAGAAGTGCAAAACAACATTGTGCCATAGCACAACATTGTGAAATATTTCTGTTGCCTTATTCACAAACAAGTGCCACAGTTGTATACCCTTTGAGTTTAGCTAGTTTCCAAGCTTAACTCCCTCAATTGTTTGACTTTCTACAGTAAGATGGGCAATTAGCACTTCAGTTACTTCAATTCTCATACTCTACTTCCCAAAACAAAAAAAAGAGCTGGTTGTGATTAATCTTAACTTGTGAACTCCTCTCTGATACAGAGGAGTGTCTTGATCTATTCTCTAGTTAAACTATTATAGTTTTAGGTGTAGTTGGTCAAAATGCTCACTCATCTTCCAGTAAAGTCCCAAGAGCTGATATGCCTAAATTCCAGGAAGGAATGGAGCCTTTGAAAAGTGATTACTTTTAAGATTACTTACAGCTTCAAAAGACTGTGCAAGTTGATGTCCAAGTTGATGATTTTAACAGAAGGTTAAACTCAGCCAATGGCGCAACTTGAGGAGTTTTAATGTAAACTGCTTCCTTATGCATCTGCCCACCTGTAGAGGATTTATTAGAAGGAGATCAGACTATTGGCGAGAGATTAGTAACCACTGAGACAAAACCTTAGGCATGAAGAAGGATGTCATAACTCCTAACTAGGTGAGGAGAAAAGTCAAGCATATATGCATCATGTTCTCCAGGAATGGCAGTTGTAGCCAGTCTGACTTTGGTTCTAACGTCAGTAGCACATAGATTATGTTCATCAATTCAATTTACCTTTCTGCTTGCTGCTAATCACCCAAATCTTTATCTAGGAAAGTACCAATGCACTAAAGGAAAAAAGATTAGATCTTCCTTCTTCTCAACTTTGTGCTGATGACAAAAGGTCAATCTTTAAAGGACTCTAGTTCCTTTTGATACAGAAGTTAGCTTTAGATGTGGATTTTTTTCATAGCTAAATTTTAAGCCAAGTCTCATCAGTGAATTCATATGCCTATATTTGTATTACTTCTACCTTCAGAAGTATTTTGTGCTTTGTTATCTTGTTAAGCAATTGAACTGTAGAAGTTCATTTCAGTCCAGACTCATGTGGTCCACTTGGCTTCAGAACTGAGATAAGAAAATAAATAATAAAGATGTTTGGCAAAGAACAGGAAAACCTAGACTGATTTGGATACTATTGGAATAGTTGTCATTCCAAAGCTGTTTCAGAGTATGCAGGGACTAGGAAAAAATCTTAGCATCATAGCCACTACCTACGCAGTGCCAGAAATTAATCTAGGAGCTTGTAACCTGGCTTGTCAGTTGTGCTGCTCTTTCTTTATTATCACATGTATGACTATTCTTGAGCACTGAAAGTTTAAACATCAATATTTATAAGACACTAATGAGTCTCTAATAATTGTAGAAGAAATGCAGCAAACTTTTTCAAGCAGAGCAGTTTTATTATTCTTTCCTTACCATCAAGTCAATTATTTCAAGTGAGTTTCAATGAAATCTTTGCATAAAGCCTATTGGCTTCCATTTAGTCATCTTGGAATGCTTTGAGTTTATCACAAGCCCTGATTGCAGGTAACACAAGATATCCTTAGTGAATGCTGACATTTGAATGCATAAGCAAAATTGGGAAATTAGGATAGACATACAATTTCATCTATGATGAATACGATGAAGCTTTAAGGGATTGTTTCATTTTCATATCTTGGCTGAGTTGGGAACGTTTTATATGTAGTGCTCCTGGGAATTCCCTAGACCCTTGGACTAAATACTTAAATGCAACAGTAGTCACCTTAGCAGATGTGCCAGGTCTGAACTGAGTACTTCAAAAAAAGTCATTCTTAACTTTTTTTTTCAGTGCCACACTAGTACTAATTTGTAAAACAAATGCTTATGGCCTTGCTTCATGGCAAACTTTGCTAAGGATGCAGATGAACAAAACTAAATTTATTGTTCAGAATATTTAGTAATGTTTTATTCATGGCATCAATATCGGTAAAGTTTGTACACTCTCTATAAAAGCAGTGACACCTTTGGTGTGAAGAAACATAACTAAAAGAGCACGTGTTGAAATGTTAGAGTACATAGTGCTGAATTTAGTCTCTTGTACTAACATTTAAGTATTTTTTTTTCATGTAATACTTCACATTAAGAACTCTATGCCGGATGCTCTCTGAATTCTCTGCACTTAGACTGGGGCGGGGGGGGTGGGGTGTTGCATACTTAGTACTCTTGAAGGTAGCGTTGGTTCATCATAGTACCAGAGTTTGCATTTAGTGCTTACAGCTGTTCAAGCACCACATGCATTTTCTGAACCATACTGTACTTCTGAGACTTGTGTAACTGCTAACAAGGTGGGATTATTTTGCTGAACTTGAAACTGGACTGACTGACTCAACCATTGCAGACACCAGTCTGTTTACATACCATAGAGAAATGGATACTTCTGGGAGGTAACTAATGTTTGTGTCCTAAATTAATTTGACATTATTTTCCTCCGAGGATGACTGGCTTAGTTAACTTTCTATGCCAGTATGTTTTGCAATTGGCTGAGTAAGCACATATGGAGTAGATTACCTTAGAGATTATGCTACTGGCCTTTTTTTTTGAGGTGTGAGTCTATTGAAAACAAAGCTTGTGGAAACTTACTGGAGTTGACCAATAAGCCACTCAACAGGCTGAACTTCTGGTAGAAACCTGATAACTCTTTCAACCTTGCTTTTCAGGTGCTTCAAAATACTGAGTGCTAATGGAGAACCAAAGGTATTTAGACCTAGGGACCGCGATGATATTGTGAAAACCGTAATTGAGCCAATGGCTTCTGAAGGGCTCAGAACCATCTGCCTGGCATTCAGAGACTTCCCAGCAGGGGAACCTGAGCCAGAATGGGACAATGAAAATGATATTGTTACTGGTCTGACGTGCATTGCTGTTGTTGGGATTGAAGATCCTGTGAGACCCGAGGTAAGATCATTGACTAAACTGCAGTGATTCTGTTACCAAGAATCTTGATTCATGGTGGTGTTTGCAATGCAGAGAGTACAAGAAACTGAATTGCAATTGTATGCCTTTAAGCATAGTTGATAAATGAAAATCTATTTTCTTGGGGGAAAGTTAATGGAGCTATAAAAGCAGATTAAAACTTCTTAATGTCACTTATGCTGTGTTACTGAAGCTCTGTACAAACTAATGACTTAAGGCTCTTACTGTGCAGCGTCTCAGTAGATGGAACAACTTGTAATTTTTTTACCACTTGCAATATTAAGAGTATTGTTTAGGATAATATTAGCTATTGGGCTTGTTGCCAGCTTCTCATGCAGAATGATAGAGGGGAAGGTTTTTCACCTCAGAACTGAGGTAAGGATGGCTTGTGGTTGAGGTCTAAGGAGGGCAGTACTTTTCAGTAGTGAAAGCTTTTTTGCCATGTGGAAGCGGAACTCCAGTCTCATCTGTGCTAGCACCAATTCGCACTAAAAGTCATGGGTGAAGTAGTGGAGTGAGAGCTGCAGTTTATTTTGCATAATCATAAATGAAAGGTCAGTACCCAGTGCCTTTGAATGCTATGGCCTAATACTTCATGAGAGTTTTTGTGGTATTTTTGGATACTGCAGTATTTGAAAAATGAAAGGGGGGTGGGGCAGGGACATGACATAACAAGAACAAAGCCCCTTTGCCAGAATTGTGTGTTTTTCAGGAAAATAATTACAGTAAGCTACTTAATGCTTTTAAATGTTCCTTTTATAACACTCTTCATTATAAAATAAGAGTTATCCTGGATTGAGCCAAAAACATTCCTTTCACTCATATTTAAATTTATTCAGCTAATGTACAATCTTTGAGCCCTATGCATTTGTGGGTTTGGAGGGTTTTTGTTTATTTGTTTGTTGTTTTTTGTTTGTTTTGCTTGCAGGTACCTGATGCAATAAAAAAGTGTCAACGCGCAGGCATAACTGTGCGTATGGTCACTGGTGATAACATTAACACTGCTCGTGCTATTGCACTGAAATGTGGTATTCTGAATCCTGGTGAAGACTTCCTGTGCTTAGAGGGCAAAGACTTTAACAGGAGAATACGCAATGAAAAAGGAGAGGTAAGCATACTGACCATGTAATGACCATCTGATCAACAGATACTTTAAGTCTTCTACTGTGAAACATAACCAATGCTCTTTTTGCAGATAGAGCAAGAGCGAATAGATAAAATTTGGCCAAAGCTTCGTGTTCTTGCAAGATCTTCTCCCACTGACAAACACACTCTAGTAAAAGGTAATTAAAAACTATCAGAGCTTCGAAGTAAAGCTAGATTGTTTTGTTCTGCTTCTAGAAAAAAATCTAGGACTGAGCAGTGGGAAATGCCTATGTTAGTATCTTCATTTATCAATTGATTTTTTTTCCAACTAAAACTATATGTTTTGACTTTTTTGTGACTCTGAGGAAGACAAAACTGGGTTTCTCTTTCAGATTTAATCTGTTCTGTGTTGTCAATTATGAATTCTAATACCAAGTTGTCATTTCATTTCAGGTATAATTGACAGCACTGTCTTTGAACAGAGGCAAGTTGTAGCAGTAACTGGTGATGGTACCAATGATGGTCCAGCTCTGAAGAAGGCAGATGTTGGATTTGCTATGGTACAATTTTTTTTTAATCTTCAGTATTTGGGGACCTATTTTGATAAAATAGCTTATCAGATCACTTAAAAGAAGATTGAACAGCCTTGCTTGTTTCATGAGCCTATAACACAACTAAGTTAATGGAGTCAATATCTCTCATAATTAATAGAAACGTTTTCCTCCTTCAGTTTTATAACTTAACCATGTTTTTATTTGATGGACAATGTCTTTATGGCATTGAATAAAATTTGAAAGCCTCAGATTCCCAGGTACTTGCAAATCAAAACATTTTTATATAAAGGCTTGTTGCAAAATGTAGGAACAGAATTACAGATACTGAAAATTTCTGAAATTATCTGTTCAACATAAGGCAAAATGACTTCAAATGGTAAATAGCATACTATGACTTCCAGTGAAGCTTATACACAATATGGAATTAGCTTACTCATCTGTTTTTCATGAAATGATGCATAGGGATAGAGACTATAATGAGAGAAACTACCTGTTGATGTTTAAAATGGCTTTGGAGGCTATCCTAAGAGATATCTCTAGTACAACTAAAGTAAGAGCATTTTATGATAATCTAAGATCTCGCTTTCTCAATTTAAATTCTCAAACACCCTTTCAGATGGTAGCCAAACCACGTCTTGGACAGAACCCATGACAATTAACTGCTGGGAGTAGAGCAACTTAGCCTAAATTTACCTTGTGTTAACCCCTACTTTATTGCAGGCTCTCTGTTAAAACAAACCTTCCTGTAAGTGCTAATACTTTATAGACTCATGCTTTAAGTATGCAGGCTTCAGCTTTCTTCTGTCTCTTACAAAATACTAAAATAGATTTCTCAAACTTCCTCTTGCCTCAAAATTCCTCCTCAGTCTTAAGCTGAGAAGGTACAGCTTGGTGCTAGTAGGTCACTTCAATCTTATTAAGCATTTGAAGGAAAAAATATGACCACACTCTTACACGACGTGCAGATACACTGAATCAGGTGCTAATCTTGAAAGGAAAAAGTGAGGAGAAGAGCTTTTCTGTCATTCTCAAGAAGTGTTTTTCAAAAGCATAACTTAAAAATTTGACAGCTACACATGAAATGTTCTCTAGACTCTAACAGTCCTATTTTAATGAGTATCTGTTTTCTGCTACTGTATAGCTGCTGTAATTGGACTGTTATAAGTAGATTCCTTTTCCTCTTCCAGAATTTAGTCTGCAACTGCAGGAAACATTTATGTTCATCTATATAAGAAACTAATTTCTCTAACTGTTTATCTGAATAGCACTTAAAATATACCGTCTACTACATGATATTTAATGGTACCTTTTAAAGTGTACACGTAGCTGTCTAGGTGACTCATTTCCTTGGCAAAATAATTTATCAAGAATAAGGATCATTAGGTTTGCTATTGAGTTAGTGATTTTGAAATGCCAAAGGCAAAATAAATATCCTTGCACTAGGTGTTACACAGAACTCAGCTTAACTGTTTGGCTATCGTGACTACTGTAGGAGACTCCAGGTGCTTAAAACTTAAGAAAGTCATATTGCATTGCAATGTCATATGCAATGATGTTCCATGTTCTACTTTTTAATACAAATACTTTTCTGCAAAAGGTTTTTGGTAATGTGTATTATTCTGCTGTGTTAAGAATGCGTGCATTGCCCTGCTGTTGGAATGCATGTAGCAAACTCTTAGGACATAGACTAAACTGTAGTACTGCACCATCTTGTGGCCTTTAACTTACACAGGGTTCAGTAACTCTTTGGGAGAGCTTACATAGCTTCTTTGTCATCAGCTTGAAGATTTTTATTATTAAGGTGTTTTTTTTACAGACAACATTACCTTTTTTGTTGTTGTTTACATTTTCCCATGCTTGAGTAGAACTTGCAAGCAGGACTTAATTGAATAGAACTTCAGGTGCTTACATTAAAACAGTCCTTCAAGCATTGTGCATCAAAGTGAATGCTGACCAAGGATATAATAATACCTTCTAATACATGATTCAGTGCATCCTGTTATATTTCAGTGTTTTTCTTTTTCTACCAGGGTATTGCTGGAACAGATGTAGCTAAAGAAGCTTCTGATATTATCCTTACAGACGACAACTTCACAAGCATTGTTAAAGCAGTTATGTGGGGACGAAACGTGTATGACAGCATCTCCAAATTTCTTCAGTTCCAGCTTACTGTCAACGTAGTAGCAGTAATTGTTGCTTTTACAGGAGCATGCATAACACAAGTACGTATTGGTGGTGGATTGTTTCATCTAATAAAGGTTGAAAATATCATGACTGATTGACTCTTGAATTCAAACTTCCAGTTAAATACTAGTCCAAAGAATATAATACTTTTCAGAACATGTCCATGTCGTATAATAAAAGCTTCTAATAGCTGCAATTTGGTCACTTATATTGGAGGGTTTATGTATCTATCTTTATAGGATTCTCCACTTAAAGCCGTGCAGATGCTGTGGGTAAATCTCATAATGGACACATTAGCTTCTCTTGCCCTGGCAACAGAACCACCCACTGAAGCTCTTCTGTTGCGAAAGCCTTATGGTAGAAACAAACCTTTGATTTCTCGTACAATGATGAAGAACATTTTGGGTCATGCATTCTACCAACTCGTAGTGGTCTTCACACTCCTGTTTGCTGGTAAGGATACTGAGCCTTTAAAAGTTGTCATAAAAGTTGTACAGAGATGTGATCTTAAAACTAGTTTTTTTACTGTAGTGTGCGTGTGTGAAGACACCAATTAAGCTATTGATAATTGCTTTTTATATACAGGTGAGAGAATTTTTGATATCGATAGTGGAAGAAATGCACCTCTGCATGCTCCTCCTTCAGAGCATTATACTATTGTATTTAATACATTCGTGATGATGCAGCTTTTTAATGAAATTAATGCCCGAAAAATTCATGGTGAAAGAAACGTTTTTGAAGGAATCTTTAACAATGCTATCTTCTGTTCCATTGTTTTGGGGACGTTTGTTGTGCAGGTAAGTAACTTCTTGGAGAGTGGGGGGAAAATGCAGTTTGTGCAATGATGTACTTGCTCAGATTGGAAATGCTAATCAGCTAGTGCCAGGCATTTAATTTCTGCAGTGTGAAAAAATCTTCAGTGTCAAACACGCTATAAATCACTTAGAGGTACTGCTTGGCAGGGTTTTCGGGTAAGACCTCTTTAAAATTGTCAAAATTATAATGTAGAAGTACTTGTACCTTTTGAATTTTCTAGACCTTCAATTTGATCTTTATGTTTAACTCTCTTTTCAAAATGTGGAGAGAAGTTGTATGTTTATCTTCCTGATGCAGAAATCAGTTATCTGCATATAATAGTTTAGGTATTATTTTGATATGAAAAACACTGATGTCTAGGGGCCTTCTGTTGGTGCATCTAGGCAGCTTTAACTATAAAAAATAACAAACTAGTTAGTTAACTCAGTATATGCTAACAAATTAAATTATCTGAAACTGATTGGGTTAACAGAGTGGTGAAACACCAAGTGAAAACTTTAAGAAAATAGTTTACAAGAAATACTTTCACCTTTTAAGTGGCCTTAACTTTTAATTCATCAGAAGAAATAATCAACAAATCGGTAACTACTTTTTTTCAGAACTCTTTCATTTTGCCTTAAGTTATTTTTGACTTAAGATATAACCCATGCCTTAAACTTCTTCTTAGACTTGAGATTCCATGAAGTTGACCAAATCTGTAGCAGTTCAAGCAATGCAAATGAATGCGCCTCAGCTTCACATAATGTTAATTCACTTATTCTCCCAGGTTTACATTTCTTTAGGTAACACTTCTTCAGAAGCTACTCTTACTTTTAGGGTTGCTTATTCAGCAGACTGTTATTGTGTAACAAAGCCAAATATGTAGCAATTATTTATGATTACAAGTGTTCCCTTTATAAACTATGCCTTCCTAAATAAGTAACTCTTGAGTTGTCATCTCAGTGTTTTATTCAGTGTTAATAAAAGAAGATACTCCTGGGCTTTTCATATATCAGTTTTCTTATGTAATGGTCAATACTGTCTCCTTTACATGCCCGCCCTGCTATTCGAATTGTTGATTCGCTAAGGCAGACTTTCATGCATATAATTCCTATGCAGGGGGATACCTTGCTCAGTAGGGCCTGTACAGCTTGTTGTAATAGGTAAGTCAGTAGGATCTTGTTTAATTTAGCTTTTGAGATCTCTGCCCCCTGCCCCAAAGATTTACTACACATGTGTCACACCATGATGATTTGAAGTCTGACATTTAATGCTGGGATACATAGTAATATTCTGTTGGATTATTTCTGAAATATTTCATGTGTCACGGATCTACGGTCTCTGTTAATAAAAGTTTATCAATCAACTTGGTTCTGAAATGGACGTTCATATGATAATTAATCACTGTAAATTTGTAACATCAAATACATGCTGTAAATGTGAAATGAAGGGAAAGAACTGCAAGCACAAAGAATCTGTCAACAGGCTTTTTGTGAGTATAAAATAACTCAATGAGTAGTTCTTGAAATACTGAAAAGCAAGAGCAAAGGTTTGGAAACTTGTTCAAACTGCTGAGACAGTGGAAATGTATGCTTAATGCAAAGTTGTCTGTGGTGATCTTGAAGCATTAGGGAGTTTTCTACTATCAGGTCACTGATCTGTCTTGTTTAATGATGTTGCTCTTCACAGATAATTATTGTGCAGTTTGGTGGGAAGCCTTTCAGTTGCTCGGAACTCTCGATTGAACAGTGGCTGTGGTCCATTTTCCTGGGCATGGGAACACTACTCTGGGGCCAGGTAAACTAGCTTTTTCAAAATGCCAATATCTGTGCTTTAGAATACTTTACATTGAAAATACAAAAACACTATCTTAAGTATTCAGATCTTTCAAGTGGATTATATGAATATATGGATATTAACAGTAAATACTAATTTAAATTGACTAGTTCAATAGCTAGAAAGTCCTTAATTGACTATTCCTTACTCTGATTTTGTCAATAAATTACATTTCATAACTAAATGCTATGTGGTTTGTGTTTTAGTAACTTTAACTAGAAGCAGCTGTAGTTACCCTTTAAATATACTATATATTTAGCCAGACAGGTACTAGAAGAAGCTCTGTAAATAACACAGGTGCAATGAACATGTTAATGTTGAAATATATTTAACTTAGTGTTGAATGGTTTTCTTGAAAAATCAGAATTGTTAAACTTGCTAGTATTTTCTTGATTTTAAAAATTTCCTGGAGTAGCAAGAAATGCAGCAAAACTCAAAACAACTTTCTCTTTAATCTTGATTTGCATAATTATGAAATAATTTGAAAGTTCTCCCAACTATTTAAGCTATTGCAATTTGATTTTTATTTCTCTCTTTCCCACTTCCGTCCCTCCCCTCCCCCCGAGGGTTTCATTACTATTGCATGCACAACAGTGCTTGTAAGCAGCAAGCTTATTTACATGAAACTTTAGAGCTACAGAGTTTTCCATTATTTAATGACATAGTTGTCTAAACTTTTCATACCACATGAAGAGTTTTCCATTACAGTTTCTTTCCTTCCATTTTGTAAAGGACACTTCAGGTTCCAATATAAAATTGGAAGGGTAAATTTTAGTTCTAAATACATACATAGACACATATTTTAAAAGTGTGCATAAGCTTTTTAATAAGGTTCTCTGGAAAATTAATTATTTAAAAAAAATCAAATAGAGTCACTCTGAGGTTTAAAAGTAGCCTAGAAGAGAACTGAGATGGCTTGAAATACCTTTGACCCGAAGTGTCTTGCAAGGGCAAAGCTTCCCTGCTGCAGGTTCATGCTGCTCTGGCATCTCATTAAAGTCAAGGAGCTTTTGACTTTCTGAGAATAGTAGAAACTGAAGTGTGATCTGGGAGCATTCATAGTAGCAATTTCAGCATGAAGGCCTGTTTATCTTGCTTTTGGAGCAGTCTTTTTCCTCTGCAGCTGCTGAAATGGTCTTCTAGGTTTGTGATGATGATCAAGGAAAGCAGTCTTGGAACTGATCTGGATCTGCTAGATGGGACGTATCAAAAGATGACTCCCCTTAACTACATAGTTCACCAGAATAGCCCTGAAGGTGGGGATGAAAAGGAAAGCTGGAACAGCCATACATAGCTCTTGTTTAGTTTAAGATAGATGAACTAGTGTACACCAAGCAGCAACAGAGATAAGGGTTTTGGAAACACCACTCACGTTGCAAATGGACTGATACCTTCCAGGTCACAAAAGAATGCATGTCTGTCCTGTATTTGTGAATTAACTGTGGGTATTTTAATTAAGTGATGTATCTCTCACTTGAGGTAACACATCATGCTCATAAAACTGATGGAACTCTGAAAGCTCTACATGCAGTCTACAGATGTAATGGCTCTTGTAGCTTCAGTACTGCTCCTTCTTGGCATAGTCAAGTAATGTTAAAATGGCGTTCTTTGTCCCTAGCAAAGATAGATTGTTTTCTAGGTTTGTAGCCCAAGTTTAAATTCACACCTTAGTTGAGGTTGTAAGGATATTCACAGCTTTGTAGCTATTCAGCTGGAGTGATTGCTCTACATTTAATGCATTCATCCCATTTACATAATTTGGTGGTTTTCTTGTTTGGTTGGGATTTTTTTCTACTTTGCTAATTGTACACAGGATATTATGTTAAGCCTTTATTATGGTATTGCACTTTAAAAAAAAAAATCCTGATTCATATTTTTCACTCATCGTTAGTTGATTTCAACAATTCCAACCAGCCGTTTGAAATTCCTTAAAGAAGCTGGTCATGGAACACAAAAGGAAGAGATTCCTGAAGAAGAACTAGCAGAAGACGTCGAGGAGATCGATCATGCAGAGAGGGAATTACGTCGTGGTCAGATCTTGTGGTTTAGGGGCCTAAACAGGATACAAACTCAGGTATGGTCTTGAAAAAGGTAGGACGCAGTGGGTGTTATGAGGGAAATCTCTCCATCTCCAGTCCTTTGACAAAGGTGGCAGTTCTAAATGGTGTGACTGAGACTGTCAAAAGGGGATATGGATGGAAGTGTAATCCCTCAAGGTCCTCTGTTTTCTTCAGCTCTAAATGCAACTCTTGCCTCTGTATCTGCTCTATTATAAAAAGTGCCTTTTTCTTTACTTTTTTATGTGTTATAGATGGGATGGTCCTTTCTCTTGTTCTCTCTCTCTCTTGCTGAGCAAGCTGTCACAATCTCTGATTCCTTGCAGATGGATGTAGTGAATGCTTTCCAGAGTGGAAGTACCATTCAGGGGGCTCTAAGGCGGCAACCCTCCATCGCCAGCCAGCACCATGATGTAACAAATATTTCTACCCCTACACATGTAGTGTTTTCCTCTACTACTGCTTCTACTACTGTGGGGTGTGAGTGTGTGTTCCTAAAGTGCATGAAATTAACATTTCCTAATTCACGTACCTAACGTTTCTCATTTTCTCCTTAGTACTTAAAATCATCGTTCAGGCTTTTATAGAGCTCTTCCACAAAGTGGAGTCCTCAAGACTTTTTTTTCTTAGAGGGCTGAGAACAGGTGGAACAGTTTCAACAAAAGATTTAATGTGAAAGCTGTGAGCCTGCACATCCTGTGCCTTCATCCATTTGTGTACAGGGGGACGTTTAAGATAAAAAAGGGAAAACTGTTGTAAATTTTCGAGTATATGCCTCTTAGGGTGACTTACATTGAATAAATGATTATTAACTGTATAATCATGGACCCAGGTCAACAAAAGTAGATGTCTGGCACTGCAGCACAAATGATACTTAAAGTAAACAAGCTGATGGGAAAGCAAATGGTATGTTAAAAATACAAATGTAGTTAGACCATTGAGCACTAAATGCATTTTCTTTGTAGCCTATAAGGAACTTCTGAATCTCTGCCTTTGTTGGACCTTTTTTACTGAATAACACAACTTTCTCAAAATCAGAATTCAGGTGGTGAAACAAGACTTCTAAAGTGCATATAAATCAGAAGAAATATTTAATTAGCTAATATTAAAAGGCGAAAAAAAGCTTTAAGCATTAAATGGTGAAACGTTCATTCAAATCTGAAGGGTTTGTTTTTTTCCTCTCTAGGTTCTTCTGGCAGCAGTTCATAAGCCATCAGTGAAAGTAAAGTTGGTCTCACTTAGCTCTGCCCTCTTTATATTGTGCTCCAAGTGGCATTTCAATTTCAGCTTTCCTCTCTGTAGAGGCTAGAGATCTAATTACTTGTGTATGTAGGCTTAAACTCCGGAGCCTGAAGATGCGTAACAGTTGTAGTTGAATACTGATAGCTAATATCTATTGTTGAAAGTTTTCCATCTTAATTATATATTACATGTTTAACTTCCTTCTATGACTTCTTAGAAACTGGTTAAATAATTGTGTTTTTTTTAAAAAAAAATAACTCTGAGAGGGCTTCTTTCTCCCCTGTGCTTTTTAAACTTTCAGATTACCAGATGGATGAAGAGCCTTAATTTCTGGACCTGCCTTAAACGAAATGTTCTCTTCTAATTTTTTTTTATTATTTTTTTATGGGGCTTGGCCAGAATTCCTGTGTGAGCTTGCACAAGTATTTACCTTTGTACTTGTTCTCCACTGGCAAGACAGGTATTTCCCCACCTTGCTGTCATATTGGGAAGCTGAGCTCACAAATTTGTGTCACTGAAGAAACAAAATGAAAAGTAGATTTAACAGTAAGGATGCACAGGATTGCATCTCCTAGTTAAAATGCTAATTAGTAACCTGTATCCCTAACTACACTTAAGAACATTAATTAGACACTCAGAATTCTCTAGAGAGCAACTTCATGCCATGCTGCCATTTGAGCACAATCTAATGGCTGCTGCAGCATCTCATTGCATCAAATGACCAATGCAGATACGGAGCTACACTAGCAGAGAACTAGTTCCTGTAATACAGCCTTCTGCTACACCCTCCAGGAGAACAACTTTTGATAACTAATATATGTATTAGTGAGAAGCAGATGTATTATTTCACTGATGCAGATGTATTATTTCTGCCAGAGCTGTTTGTTGGAAAATAGTTGAGCTGCTCCTATGAAGTAAGGTTGCAACTCTTAAGCAGCCATCTGGCTAGGAGGATTTGGAGTGCTTACTGCATTCCTTGCTATTCTGGTACTAGTATGAGGAAGGCCTGATGACAGTACAAATTACACATAACAAATTGTCTTGTTTGCTCCTTCACTTATGCAATTTATTTATAGTTACCTCTCTCATCTAATTATCTTGAGTAGTTGAAATTAAAGCCTTTAAAACTAAGTTTTCCCTTTTTAAGTATAACTTAAAATGCTGAAAGTCTGATTTCTGCCTCCATGGCCAGACTCTTTGAGGGTGCTGGGTTCACAGGAGTGTCTAGACCACTTACTTGGTATGCATTCTGCATGGGAATCAAGTCTTTATTGTGGTTATGCTTATATTCCTATGATAAATAAAGCTGTCCTCTTAAGCCAAAAATTGTTCTCCGTTACTGCTTATGGTCTAACTTGCCATCTGTAAGCAATGAAAAACCAGTCCCATAAGGCAGTCATATTTCATTTTGCCACATAAGTCAGCGGCACAGTGGGATGCAACATGCCAAATAAAGGCATTGCAAACTTGCAGTCTGGCATTGTCACCACTGATTTTCTTGGTAAATGCCAAGACACTTTATGCAGCTTGCTGGATGTGTTTAAAGCTCATGCAACATGCCAACTCCTTAACGGCGTGCTCGGTTTTTTCATATGATGAAGAGTATAGTAGCTGCTGTGGTAATCTTTTACCTCTCAAGCACATTGATACTATTCCCTATCCTCTCTTTATTGGTAGTTACGGCCTTCCCCTTGCATGCCTTCCCCCCTCTCTCCCCCCCCTCCCCCATGGTTTCCAAGGTTTATGGGGCTCAGCTGTGTACCTGTAGTATAAAAATGTGGACTTGATAGCTTTTAAGTAAAATTCTTCCTGCAAGTACTCTGAGGGGGTAGAGGTGGGGGAACAATACTATTTCTAGAGGTCAAAGAGCATGCTCAGGTCCTAAGATTTTATCATATGCAGTGATTCTGTGGTAACAAATTTGTTAATTTGGGGAGCCCTTCTCTGTGTTTACAGTGAGGTTGTTTGGTGTATCTTAACTGTTTTGAAATTGGTGCTCTTGATCTGCCTGACCTTCCAGTTTCATTCCTTCACCTGGAAGTCACTTTATTTTTACTATTAAGGAACTTTACGGAAGCACTAGTCAAGATAGTTCTCGGCTTAAAACAAGTCATCTTAGTTGTCCTAAAAAAAACAACCAAAACAACCCAATTTTAAATTGAACTTACTGTTTTGTCAAGTAAGTTCTTGTTTACTACAGAGTTGCTCTACTTTGTACTATTTAGCAGAAGCATTGGGATTGAAACTGTGCTTTGTTGGAGACTTATTCAGGTTACTTAGAGATGCTGAGAATTGAATAGGGTGCTAACAGAAGGAGGAAACTGTATCTTGACAAAATTGTTGGAGAAAGGGGTCACTGACTTCTGCCTAACCTTACTTGTTTCATCAGTTCAAGAATGAATTCCGAGATCCTGTAGTTTGGTTAAAGAAATGTGTGGAATGTGGGAGGAGAAGGGGGATGAGGCAGATGGTTTTATCATTCAAATTACAATTTGAAAAGCTTAAATTGAAAGTCAACCTGGACATGCACAATTTGGAAAATGAAGCTGTACTTTATTCTAATTTCACTCTGAAATGTATGTTTATGAATTCTGTGAACTTAGCTTTCTGATTTGAAAGACATTAGTTAAACAATGAAAGGAACTGAAATAATACTCAGCCTGGAAATTTTGTCCGTGAATTCAATGTAAATTGAAGACTTAAAGCAAAGGCTGATCACCTGCTTTTCTTATATCTTGTGCTACTTGAATAGTCTCTTCAAAGTTACAACCTGTTGTGGCTACTTAGTTGTACAATACAGTATTCAATTTCCTAGTTCTGGTTTTAAGTTTCCAAATCTCTATTCAGTAAGGAACTTTCCCTAGTGTGGTACATGGGTATATACTCGAATATTTACAGCTGTTACAGTGATATCCTTTTTTGCATGACTCTTCGTAAATGTCTGGTCATTGTGACGTTGGCTTACACTTGCTTGGCTTTCTCATAGTCAGTTGACATCCTGATTCCTAGCATGAGAATTAGTAACCCTTTTATCCTCCAACTTATTTTCAGCCTCTCCCCTCCTTCCGCTGCCTCCCACCTCCCCAAGTATTCAAAAAAAACACTCTCACTGAGATGTATTTAATTTGTGAATAAGTAAATAATTGTTGGCCTCACTTCTGAAAAATGCTTAGCCTATGTTAAATAATTGAACAATTCTAGAGCCATGTCTGAATTTTTAGGCCCTTCAGCTTTTTGCAGTACTCTTACAATTTTTATTCCTACTGTGTAAACTGGCAGTGCACTACTGAAACGCTCTTCATTTTTTACAGTTTATTGCAAGTTCCACTGCATCACATACAAATTCGATTCACTCATGTCTAACTGTTTGTGGATTCAAACTCATAAGAACCATGCCATTGCTAGTACATCTGCAGCATTTTAACAACCTTGTTTTCTTTGCTTACAGATCCGAGTGGTGAATGCATTTCGTAGCTCCTTGTATGAGGGGTTAGAGAAACCCGAGACACGAAGTTCAATTCACAATTTTATGACGCATCCTGAGTTTAGAATAGAAGACTCCGAGCCTCATATTCCCCTTATTGATGATACTGATGCTGAAGATGATGCTCCAACAAAACGCAACTCTACTCCCCCACCCTCTCCCAATAGAAATAACAATGCGGTTGACAGTGGAATTCACCTTACAACAGACATGAACAAGTCTGCTACCTCTTCATCCCCAGGGAGCCCGCTACATAGTTTGGAAACATCACTCTGATTGTAAGCTGAATGTTAACACACTAGCTGCATTGTAAAGAAATTGAAACTGGGTCTCTTCACACATTATGATGGACAAGATGACACTCTTGTCTTGGACTTCAACAGAAGACACACTTGTACGAATGTAGATTTATTTTTTTAAAAAAAGCTTTCTGCCAGACTGGAGGGTGCTTTTCTGGGGGTGGGAGAAATAATGAACTCTGACAGATAAACAGTAACTCAGCATAAGTGACCTGTGGATCATCTGTTGTACTTAAGAATGGTCCTGAACAGTGTGTTAGCAGAGCTTTAGTTTATCATGATCCTTTTCTGAGGGGAAGGCTGGGAAGGGCAAGGAGGCCCTGGATCATTGAATCGATACTTTAATTTCTGCTGTTGGCTGTTAATAATTTGGATTATTTATGTTTATAAATGATACAGATCTGTTTACAAGGTTTGTAGATACTTTTTTTGTTCCTGTTCATAGATGGGAAGCTTCCTTATAAATGATGCAGAGAAAAAAAAAAACAACAAAAAAACTAGTCCTTCAAATACTGCTGTATTTTCAGGAAAAGGGTGTTTCTATTGAAACTGTACTAAATTTTGCCTGCAATTTACCTTGTTAAATATTGTAGATAAATTGCTAATACTAATAGCCAAATAGATAACACTAATGCTTTGTAAAAACATGAGCAGTGGTGTTCTAATGAAGTTATGGCCTCTGTCCTAATTAGTTTCTTAAATACATTTACTACTTAATGGTTTTGAAACAACTGTTTAATTTTTAAAAATTTTGAGAAACTTACTGAATAACTTTTGTTCAGAACTTAGTAGGATTGTTTAATGCAGGACATCAATATGTGATGGAACTTGCTTGAAATATTTCTGTTATCTCGGGCAAAATGGATTAAATCAAAATACATCAATCTTAGTCCTTTGTTTTTGTCTAAACATGTTAGTTTAGTGCTGTCTTGGTGAACTGTGAGTGGAACTGTGATTTTTTTTTTTTCTAATCTATAGAATCCTTCATGCAGCATGAGGGCTGTTGGCATTTTGAAAGGTTGTTAGTGGGTAGCATACATGTTCTCCTTTTTGTTTTTGAAACTTGTTTGTAAACATGAATAAATCTGCCCTTTTGTTAAAATAAAATTGCAGCAATGGTTTTTTACAGATATTTTTTTTCCCCAGCTCCTTCACTGGAAACACTGAAAAGTACTCTTTATATTACTGGTTAACTTTAAACTGCAATTTCAAGATGGTAACAGCCCCACTAAAAATAGTACTTTGGGTAAATGGAATCATGGTGGCTGCCTCCAGGATGAATGTAAGCTAAGGTACTCATGTCTTCACTGAGCCAAAAGGATACTCCTTGGGAAAAAGTAGGTCTGCCTGAAATTCTGAGACTTACTGTGAGTACTGTAATAAATGTATCCCTGATCACTTAAGTGAGGGGAAACTGAGAACTGACATATAGCATGGATGAAAGTGCATTTTTCAGTTGATTAGCATCTCATGTACCCAAACCGACTGCTAGCGATTGACTGAAGAAGTTATGGTCTGCCTCAACTGTGTTGTTTAAACAGCAAAGGAAGATGGAACAGTACTTGATCTGGTACTTCCTTGTGTTTTCTAGGTCCAATACTGCTTAGAAGAGAAACCAAAGAGATGAGTTGTAAGCTTTTTTTAAAAAACTATTTTTCCAGCTCTGCATTCTTTAAAATAGCAGGTGATTTATTTTTTTCTTGAGATTTTTAAAGGTGTCCCTTCAAAGGAGTGCATGAATTAATTTGGTAATGAGGGAGGAGGTAATACTGGAGCATACTGCAGAAATGAGCATGTTAGGAAGCTCAGGTGTATCTTTCCCTTGTGGTGGGATACACACGTGCTTGGGTTTGTTCCTTAGTGGCTAATGTTCAACCTGTAGCTCTGTATCCCACTGTCAACCACTCTTCAATTCAGTCTTTTCTATTGTATTTAAGTAAATACACTGAATTCTAGGCAAGGGGGGTTTGCACTTGACACTTTGTATAGTAATTTCTCCCACATGTTTCTAGCACTTCCCTTAAGTCATAGTTCTTACCTAGAGCGCTTGGTAGGGGGATCAGTTTTTATGTAAGCTGTTTTCTCCCAGCTTCAAAAGTCAGATAAACATTGGCTTAAAATGAGGAGAGTTTCTTTACCCATGAAGTACACTGCCATGTGAGAAAGTACCTTCATTTAACTTCATTAATGCATCATAATATGACTTCATTTGAAAACACTTTGATTTTTTCCCGTCCCTTCTAGCTGTGATCATGACTGCTTGTTATCTTTTTTGGAATAAAGTCTACACTTAAGCCTTTTGGGGGGGGTGGGAGTGTGAATGTAGGCTTTCTATATTGGTGGTCCCTCTTGATTCTGTTAACATCAGTGTGTTGTTCTTACAGGAAATTTTCTTACAGAAATAAGGAAAAATGTTTAAGAGGGATGTATGCTTTCTTTGTGATCTCAAGAAATCATAACATGTTGCCTAGATTATGAAATGGTTATCACTAAGCTCATGAGGCCTTCATTGCCTTTCTGGTTGTAAGGTTTACTTGTCTTTCTTCTTGTAACTGAAATAAATAAAAGTGCTGTTCATCTCAGTCTGTATGGGGACTGAAATTCTTGAATGTCAGTACAGTACTGATTTAAACCTGAAATGCATGCCAGTTCTATAAAATAGCTCTTGCTGCTACTTTAAGCTCATTCCCTTTCAAGAGGTCATGGTGTACATGGTATTATGATCAAGCAATAGTAACTTTTAACATAAATGCAGTTCTAGACTGACTACTGTTTGAGGTGGCTTAAAATTCAGTATCCTGGGTAGGATGTCTACTGTACTTGTGTATAAAACAAATGTTAAGACACCTAATCTTGGCTTTGAGGGAGTAGTGAAAATTGCTATATAAGACGACTCATTTTTTCTGTATTGGTCTTAACAGGAAGAGGAAAATGCTGCGTCATGGACTAGTTTGGAGAAAATAATGGAAACAAATACCCTAATGCCAAGCCAACGGGTAAATGTAAAGGTCTGTAGCAAGTGTAAGCAGCCAAAAAAAAATGAACTAACACTCTCAGGGACTTACTTAGAGCAACAGGAAGTTTTCCAATGCGTTTCAAAGCAAGCAAGCAAGCAAATGCAATATGGAAGGATAACTTGTGTATGGCTGACCATATTGGGAAGTTATTCCAAAGGCCTGACAGAGTTCGGTTTCTACTGCCAGTAGCATCAGCCTCTGCAGAGCCCTAGAAGAATTCAGATCATGTTAAGCTTTGCATAAATTAGAGTCAAATGTCATAATGTCCATACTGCTTTTCTGATGAAAATACTTGGTTCTAAAGAGCTACTGCTTTTTTTCTGCCTCCACCCTCTCCCCAAGAAGTGCGTATCTTCTGATCTTACAGATTTCAAGCCCTCGCTGAAATACCTTAATTTTATTGACTAAGCCTGGCCAGCATGGAGAGTCCAGCTCCGACTTACCTCCAGACTCAACTGGCCTGCTTATTCATGGCCATGTCATGAGAAATTCTGGGCCAGAATCAAGAGCCTTACAACTGTTCCTGCTTATCTTCTTCCCTGGACTGTATGCAGAACTACCTAACCACCTTCTTCTAGAGACTACAGCTTCTATCAAGGAGATTTGGCTTACCTGATGTCTAAGCCAAAAACCTCCTACAGGTACTACTTGTCCATTTTGTCCAAAATGAAGTCAAGGACAAGGTTTTGCTTAGAAAACTATAGGATGGGCTCTTAACACCTGAAAGACAACAGCATGACAAAGGTACTTCACTAGACAGTGGCAGCACCATTCTAGTTGCAAAGCATAAGGCTGGAGTTGGTGCTTACACTACGAATCTGACAAAGCACGTGGAGTATTCCTCAGTGGGAGAAAAAAATTAGATGTGACTCTTATGCTTCTGTAGTAACTCGGCAGCACTAATAGGAGATCGTATATAAAGGAAAAGAGATTGACGTACTTTATGTCCAAAACACAAACAGCTGCAAGGAAGTAAGCAGGTTTCTCCTGCCCTGTATAGAACAGGCAGAGGATGTTGTTCTGCATCCATGTACAACTTTATGATCACTTTAAATCTTGTTAATGTCCTGGCTGTATTCCTGTAAAAGACTGATACAGATGGCTAGCATTGCAGAAGATGGGTAGTTGCTTGCTTCGGCCATATGTGATCTTCAAGATGTAGTGAATTTCTCTGTAACTCTTTACAACTGTTATATGTACCTGACATGTCCTAGTTTTCTAAAAATCTGTGAAATTGTTAGGTTGAAAAGGGTTCCTTGGTTTGCCCCTGCTGGAAGACAGTGGGAATTCAAGCTTGGAAAAATGACTAGCCAGGGGGATTTCAGGGAATTAATAGCTTTTGGTTGATGGAAGTGTACATTCTGGAATAAAGGAACATCACCTGGCATCTCAAATTCTGCTGTAGTAACAAGTGTCAATCCAGCTATGAAGCAGCAGTTGATCACTGAAATACAAGTATGCATTCTGTATCCCTTTGACTCATTGCAAAGCTAGCAGTACCTAACAATTTCTTGAATATCTTCATCTGCTTTCCTAGGCTGCCTCTTTTACATGGCATGAAGCTGAAATATGCTGGAAGACTGTAAGTAACAATGATACAGTAAACTTTCTATGACTTCCTCCTTAGCAAAGGGACAATCTCAAAAGCTCAAACTGGGACAGTTGGCATTGCTCAATGGCAACTGCTAAAGGAAAAAGTGAATACTAGCTTCTCTTGTTTTTCAGAGTCTCCTGTAGAGAATTAGAGCGTACAGTTTGAATGCTTCTAGATTTTGTGTGAATAGCCTCCCAAAGCTGCTGATTTAAGGTATTATGATAAAAACAAATAAACAAACCTAAACCAAAACCAAACAACCAAACAAAAAACACAAACAAAAACCCACTCTACAAATAAATCTTAGAAGACATATCTGTTATCTTTGACAATTTTAGTTTTACAAATACAGGCTTTAACATGGCATTTTCCCTCTTCCACAAGTTGATTGCTCTGATGGCTGTAGGTACAAAGCATCTTCAGTTATGATCTAAGCTAGTCTCAAGATAATCTGAAGGTAAGCTACTATTTGGTTGATGTCTGTGAGGAAATATTCAGCCTATTTTGAATACTGTACTGGCAGCTACTGCATAGTGTTTTTTGCTGTGTTTTAGGAAAGAACCTGCAAAACTATCCATTTAAAACATTCAGATCCTTGTCATAGAACTTGTCAAAGGATACGTGCATAAGGCATAGAATACATGAAACGAGAAGCTCTTGGAATTGATATTTTGGTAGGAAGCAATAGGATTTGCTTTTTGACAACACTACTTTTAAAGATGGGAATGTATGTCTTTACTTACTTGCCATATATTGGTCATTAATATTCTGATCAGTGTAACAGTGTAATTCATTGAGGACCATAATCCAAAAAGCACTCTATTGAACTAGTGTTTTTAAACAAAAAAATACTCTGGATAAGGTACTTGCTGTCATATTTTAATTTCCAAAAGCATGAGTCCTTCCTAGCTCTTTTCCTTTTACCAAGGCTTTGTTCTAATAAATCTAGCAGTAGTATGGACATGACCTAAAACTTGAGATCTTCTCCCTTTCTCTTCTTCCCCCTTCCAGTCTGTCAAAGGACTATTGAGGGAAGTGAAGGACAGATGAAGTAAGAGGTGAAATTGTGGATTTGTCTCCTTTATCAGCCTTCTACCCTACCTTATGATTTTCTCTTATGCCTTTTACTTCAGGATCTCACCCACTGTCAGTAAACACACTGGAAAACTGCTGTGCAGTGTGGCTGTTGGTGTTTCTAATAAAGTCCTCCTTCCACTTTTTAAACTGTGTGAAGGTTTGAAGAATTAGGTTTTAGATAAGAATGAACAGTGAATGAACATAAGAATGAGCAGTAGAGAATGAACATTTAAGACCAAATGTTTCTCCCAGGTAATTCATTAAAACCCCTTACCCTTGATGTTTGTTTGTACCTCTGTGACTGCTTATATGAAAATACCTTGGTATATAGACAAGGTTCCAGCTCTACATGCAGGAGGACTTTGGTCGTGATTGCAGATGCACAGGTGCTGAGAATTAAGGTAACATTTTTAAATTTAAGCCT